CTGATCGAGAGAGAGAAACTCTTCTCTCTTGATCAGCTTGTCCTCGAGCTGTCAGGGAAGTGACAGACAGCACAGCTACAAGACCGGCTGTGACCCGGCGACTGACATCTGCGGCGGTGATTGGCGGGACAGATAGGGCGGCGGCGCGCCCCCTGTTTACAAAACACGCGTTTTAAAACGTGGTTTTGCCTGCTAGTGCCGCCCTGCCTCCGTATTTCTACAGTGGCAGGGCGGCAAGTGGTTAAGAAGGTGCTCCTAATGACAACTAACTAATAACGAGTATAAAAGACACCTGTCCACATTATTTTTTTCTTTAAACCTCACCACATGGGCAAGAACAAAGAGCTGTCAAAGGACATCAGGGGCAAAACTGCAGACCTGCACAAGGCTGGAATAGGCTACAAGATCATCAGCAAGAAGCTCGGTGAGAAGGAGACAACTATTGGAGCGATTATACGCAAATGGAAGAAATACAAAATAACAATCAATTGCCCTCGATCTGGAGCTCCATGCAAGATTTCGGCTCATGGGGTAAGGATGGATCTTAAGAAAATTGAGGGATCAACCCAACTACACGGGAGGAGCTTGTGAATGATCTCAAAGCAGTTGGGACCACAGTCACCAAATAAACCATTGGTAACAAAATACACCGCCATGGATTGAAATCCTGCGGCATCCACAAGGTCCCCCTCCTCAAGAAGGCACATGTACAGGCCTGTCTGAAGTTTGCCAATGAACATCAAAATGATTCAGAGAAAGATTGGGAGAAAGTGTTGTGGGGTCAGCTGAGACCAAAATTGAGCTCTTTGGCATTAACTCAACTCGCCATGTTTGGAGGAAGAAAAATGCTGACTATGACCCTAAGAACACCATCCCTACAGTCAAACACAGAGGTGGAAACATTATGCTTTGGGGCTGTTTCTCTGCTAAAGATACAGGCTGACTTTTACGCATTGAGGGGCCAATGGACAGGGCCATGTATTTTTAATATATCTTAGATGAGAACTTTCTTCTCTGCCAGAACACTGAAGATGGGTCTTCCAGCATGACAATGACCCAAAACAAACCACCAAGGCAACAAAGGAGTGGCTCAAGAAGAGGCACATTAAGGTTATGGAGTGGCCTAGTCAGTCTCCAGACCTTAATCCTATGGAAAATTTATAGAAGGAGCTGAAACTTCGAGTTGCCAAGTGACAGCCAAGAAACCTTAAGGATTTAGAGAAGATCTGTAAAGAAGTGTGGACCAAAATCCCTCCTGAGATGTGTGCAAACCTGGTAACCAACTACAAGAAACATCTTACCTCTGTGCTTGCCAACAAGGGTTTCTCCACCAAGTACTAAGTCATGTTTTGTTTGGGGATCAAATACTTATTTTACTCACTGAACTGTAACTCCATTTATAACATTTGTATCATGTGTTTTTTTTCTGGATCTATGGTTGATATTCTGTCTCTATCATAGTTCAAGTTTCAATTCTCAATTGTTTCATCCTGTTTCTTTAAAATGCTGTGTGTTTTTAATTCCCATCTGCATTACTTTCCTTTATGCCTGTTTATACAATTCATTCTGCTTTCTCAATATCTCCCCTTGTAGCCACCCATTCAAATGAACTCAGAGCAAAGAGCGAAAGAACACATTCCTGGCATCCTTTTAGATAAGCATGTTCCTCAATGCTGGCCACTGGATGTTGCAGACCTCGGTCGTGCTATGCTTATCAGTTACTTGAATATTGTTGCAGAAGCAGGTCTGAGAATGTACAGTAATCAAATAAACTGATGGGCAGATTGCATAGCTAAAGTCTAAACTATCAAGGGGTCTGCTCCCTACCATGCACATGGTACTGTAGGTGAGCCCAGGATGTTTTTCTCACTTTTGCAATCACCAGGAAGCTGATGCATCACCCCCCCCCCCCCCCCCCCCCCTAGCTGTTATGAAAAACTAAAAAAAAAACAGGACCTGCAGCTACAGGTGTGGATTGAGGATATGCACACTTGTTGAAAGTAGGAAAATATATTTTAACAATACTAATACAGTGTTTTAAGCCCCTGAGTAATGCTCTTTATTAATATTGTGTATGTGTGTAAGTACACCTTTAAAGAAAGAACTGGTCTTATTACCCACCCAGAGCAACCAATCAGATTTATACTTCACTGGAAACATGATGTTAAGACCCAATATATTCATTTCCCTCACTCTGATTTCACCTGCAAATGTGATTTCTGGGCTCAGTGGCTTGGAAAGTAGGATATCAGCAACTATTTATGAACCAATTCTTGTTTTAATACTGAAGCAGCTCTAAAGAATATGTTTGTGTTTCAGCTTACTGGAACATTGAAGATTTCGGTTCCATATATGAAATCTTATGGTTGCTAGTATAATATAGTTTGTCTTATCTAATCTGTAACTGCTTCAGAGACCTCAATAAAAACCCACTGAGACAGAAGCATAGAGCAGGAACATCTGATTAGCTGCTACAGGTAACAAGTATGCACTTCCTTCAGGCACTTTTCTGCATGAATTTTCACATTTAAATGCTTGCTACAGTTAACAGATGCGAATCAACAAAATAATTTACCCTGTCAAAATGTAGCCGATGCATTTGAAGATCCATTTAAAGAAGAACTCTTAGAGGCATACAAAAATAAATATATGCAAAATATTCAGCAGCATAGTGTAGTCTGTTTTTATGATGTACTCTGTGTAAACACTTCATATTCAGCTGTAGACAGACAAGACAGCCAGCAAAATCTAAACATTTTCACATCTGATACACTGGATACTTCAGAAGCCTGGTCAAAAACTTAATCTACATCTTTACAGATTCTCTGCTCCTCCTCTGACAGAAGCCTGATTTGTGGGCATTACCAACATCACGTTCAGGAAGAGCTTAAATGCCACTGACCCCTGTTAAGTGACCTCTCAAGGGGGATGGGCCTGTTGGCTAGAGGGCTCCCACCCAGTTCCCTTGTTCCAACTTCTCCATTTTATTATTTGTTGCTTGAATGCAATCAGTACCTGCCACCTACAATGTTTGGTTTCTGGGATGCAGACAGCTGCTGTTGATTAGTATCCTTGGTTGTTAGGATGCAGGAGTCCCCTGCCAACTAGCTTCCTAAGTTGCTAGAATGCAAGCAGCCCCTACCATCTAGTGTCCTTGTTTGCCAGGATGCAGTTAGTTGGATTGCATTGCTTTATTGGTTGTAATAATGCAGGCAGAGTAACTTCACAGGGCACAGCTCCTGCATCACCCCCAGATCTGAAGTAAATACAAGGGAGAGCTATGGAGTCTGATGGGCTTAGATTAGGAAAAATACATTTTTCAGAAACCCAGATTTAAAAGGTTTGTTCAGCCGTCAGCTAGAAAGCTCTTCTCTGTAGGCATCACTGTTTTAGTTTCATTTAATACTAGAAGGCATGGTTTCCCTTATTTCCCTGCTCCATTGCCTGCATCTTTACCAATATGTGTGCTTTTAAAGGAAACACTGTGATTTTATTATTCAGGATAAGGTGACATTGCCTCTCTTCAGCTCCCATCTCCAACACAGTTGTCCTAATGAACGGGGCTTTTGGGTATGTAAACTCCAATGCTGTGCTGGCCAATAACCAGGGGAAACTCCGTAAACTCTGGGGAGACAGTGATGTCATACACTCCAAAAACCTCCAAAAACCACTTAGGTGGACTACTGCAGCTGGGAGGCACCAAGCCCAAAAGTTAAGGAAGTCCATGCTTTAGTAACAAAAGGAAACCAAAATTAGAGATAACAAAAAAGTAAAGTGACACTAAATCAGAGAGACCTTAGGACTAGAATTAACTGCTTAATAATGTAATAGCAGGCACCTTGATGTGCCTGTTCTTAAGCAGGACTTTGTACAATGGCTAACAGGTATGCTTATAAGGAGAAAGGCCCATTACTTTTTTTTTTTTTTTTTTAAAGCTCATTGGATTTTATTTGAAATGTGGATGAAATTCATTTCTAGCAAGTGATTTGAGCAAAGCACAATGTATGGCTACATGAGCAGCAAGGATGCAGATTGGAAGGAGAAGAGTAAAATATAGGATAAAAATTTTCTCCATCCATTATGGCCAAGAGCCTAGATATGGACACGTGGGACAGGCGGCTCCTCTATTGCAGATTCTTCATTTCAGTGTGATGGACTTGAGCTGGAGGTGTACCACCAGCAAGTAGCAGATCTCCTCAATGGAAAGCGGACTGGAAAGGACAGAGGATTGCCGGTAGGTAATTGTATGGTGATCTTGTTTTGCTCAGACTGGAAGCAAACCGTGGTGTCTGATCCCTCATCGAAGGGGAAGAAGCTTTCCCTCTGCTCTTCTCCCCAGACACTGTCCACCTTCGAGTTCAAGATTAACGCGCGCTTTACTCCAAGATGGTCAAATCAAGGAATAAAGTGTAGCACACAATTCTTCTCATCTGTTCCCAAGTTTATGGCAAACTCTTTACAGTCTTCCAGATTGAAGCACCCCACCTCCATGGAGTGACCAGGTTTGAGGCCGAGGTTATAAAAGGAAAAATATTATCTGCCGTCCTGCTTCCTTATCAGAGATGCTTGTGAGAAAGGCTCATTACGATCAACAGTGGATGTCTTCTTAGCAATAGTAATCAATACAAAGACATGCTGATAGGTTAATTGGCTCCTGTCTAAATTGGCTCTAGTATGTGTATGGATGAATGTGAGTTAAGAGACCTTAGACTGAACACTCCTTGAGGGTTAGGGACTTATGTGAATGTACAATATATGTAAAGTGCTGCATAAAGTTGATGGCGTTATACAAGTACCCGTAATATATGAATAAATAAATACAGTAATGTTATCAGTGGTACTTTACCCTGAGGTGGGGGAAAGTCTTTATTTACAATCATCTCCATCAATTCTGAGAAACTTTCAGAGAAAAACGGGGGTCGCCCTGTCAAAACAGAAACAAACGTCGACACATTAACTGAAGTCTGCTTTCGAGTTCACCTTATACTTAAAGTGTTACTAAACCCACAACAGTAAAATCAGTCTATATATGCAGTAAAGCATGCTTGTTATACTCACTGCGCATCCTAAGGGGTAATCCTCTGCATTGTGTAAAAAGGTTGTTTGATCCTGTCTTCACTGATCCTCCCCTTCTTCTACTGTCCCCAATTCATCTGGTGATTGTACAGAGCTCCAGGAGTCACTCTGCACATGCTCAGTTTAGTGTGTATTGCTAGCAAAGTTTTTTGTTTCTTTGGGAGGGTGCATGCGATTGGCACAGAGCCAATCAGCACTGTCCAGACAAAGGGTCAGGAGTCCTGCAGGCTCATAGGACAGTCAGAGCAGAATGAAAACTCCTCCTACAAGCTTTAACCAGTGCTCAGTTGGACACTAATAAAAGTCACAAGATTGCTATATACTGCTAATGAGAAAAAGTATTTAGCAGTTTATATCTACTAAATTAATTGCATTTCTATGCTGTGTACTGTGGGAGAACAGATAAAGTGTTACTGAACTCGAGACCCTGCATTCACTATAACTGTAGTGCTATTGTTCTTAGTTTAGACTTCATGCTCTGGTAAATCTTCACATAATAATTCCAATTTCTAAAATGAACATACAAAAAAAAAAAAAAAAATAAGGGTTACATCACAAATAAATGCTGAAATTGTAATTAGCACTTACCAGCAAACATTTCATATAACACACATCCCAATGACCAAAGATCACTAGAAATCGAGAAATCCCCTCCTCTGACTACTTCTGGGGCAGCATAAACTGGTGATCCTGCAAATTATATAACAAATAAATATCTTCAGTATATCATTCACTTTATATATACAAATTATAGTTCGAAAAAATAAAACTGAAAAAAGGTAGATTGCTAGTTTAAAGTAGAACAGAGCTCTGGATAGTTTCTGCAGAGTTTTGCATACAATGGAAAAAGGTCTGATAATATCATGCTTTTAATTGATCCACGGCCCCACTGGGGCTATTTCCCTTCGCTTCCTTTCATTTTAAGATTCATGTACACTAGACGTTTGGCCATCTCTCCTAGACGCCTTTCCTCCTGACAGCAATGTATTAGCAGAAAAAACGCTTGATGCTTGTAAACATAGGTGCACCAAACGTTTGGGCTTTAAATTCCAGGATAATTTATTCTGACCACTGAAATGAATTAAAACTCAAGGGCTAAATGTACCTAGTGTTACAATGCGCTTTGGCAGTGGGTTGTTTTTTTTCCGCCTCTAAACTTTTTTTTTGTTTAGAGGGAGGAACAAAAAACACCAGGCGTATTTTAGAGAACCAAGGCCACTTATTCCTGGCAGGATTAACAGGTATTTTTTGCACTTAACAAGCAGATTAAAGGCAACCTTTTCAGTATGACAGATTATCTATTAATCCAAGTGGCACAAGAAAAGGAAACCTCTTTATGGGGATAAACAGCAGCAAAAAAATGACAGATTCTAACCCTTTCCCCCTCTACTAATGAAAGGTATTTTACTGTTGTAAGTAAAAATGGGAACACAGATTAAATTTCTAACATTTCCCATTCTATCAACTAAAAAAAAAAAAAATAAAAGTAGATTACGTTTCATTTTCTAGAGTATATAAAGTCCTATTTTGTGCTTGTCAAGGCTTTTTAAACTCTACTGTTTTGAAAGTAAAAACAATTTGTCGCAGGTCTTATTTAAAAGTCCAATCTGTATCTTACGCTAGTGCAGTGGTCTCTAAACAGTGGCCTGTAGACCAAATGTGGCCCTTTGCTTGCCTTCATCCAGCTCTTGGGGCACTGTTCCTCCTACTGACACCAATGCACCATTCCTTCCACTGACAACAATGTGGAAACTTCTCCCACCGACACCAATGATGGGGTACTATTCCTTCCGCAGGTATAAAACGATGGAACATTATTCCTTTCACTGACATCAACAGTGGGGCATATGTCTCCCATTGACATCAATGATGGGGCACTATTCCTCCCAGTGACACCAACTATGAGGCACTATACCAGTGATGCGGCACTATTTCTTCCATTACTATCAATGATAGGGCACTATTCCTCCCACCGATACCAAAGATGGGGTGCTGTTCCTCCCACTACTAGCAATGATGGAGCATTATTCCTCCCCTGCGGATCATAGGTGGTATATAATTTTTTCGTTCCACTGACCACCAAGCCAAGACGTTGTTTACTACCACTGATGCTGAGGCATTTTCTACTTTCACTGGCCACAGTCTGGCCCCCCTAAAGTTTGAAGAACAGTAAACTGGCCCTTTGTTACGAATGTATGGAGATACCTGCTCTAGTGTACCAGGCATTAGAACAATTCAAATGACCTTTTATATGGTTTCTCAGGTTGCGTCTTGGTGTAGCATCTCCTGTATCTCCTGAATTCTCCGCAGATCCTACCAATGCAAATAATTCTTCTAGGTTTTCTCCTTCAGCTTTTGAAAAGCTTAAATTTGTTAACTTTAAAGTGCCTGGTCCATCAAGAAGAATCTATAAAAAAAAAAAAAAAGGTGGAACTTGTCAGGGGAAATCAAAATGTAAGAACATTTTGTGCATCAAAAGATTGCCAAACTGTTTAACGTTCAAATCCAGCTAAAACCTTTAATTTTTTGCATAATGTGCAGAACCTCAGTCTAGTTTTCATTGCAGTCTGTGTCCGTGTCAAAGAGATTTCACCTCACTTCCTGTGTCTGTAATTAGAGGGACAGCAAGTGATGGGAAATGGGCACAGAAACAGTAATAAAATCACATATTGTAGTACAGTGAGGAAATGCTGTATTGCTGTGTGTGCTTTTGCTGTCCTGGGACCCACTTACCTATAATTTTCATTAGAGGAAGCAAATTTCATGTTTTAGTGATCTTTATACAGTTCACTTGGACGAAGCTGATCCACTCTAACACATTCCCCCATTGACACATGCAGCAACTGTCAGCGCTGTATGAACTGTATGTAGCCTCAGCTACATACAGTATACTGTGCTGTGTTACGGCAGTTGGATAGGAATATAATTAAGTCAGGCTAAGTGCTGCTCAGACATTCAGAGGAAGCTTTGTATTTTCTTCATGAATAAAAAGATTGGCTGAGGCAGAGATCGTGCCTTCATTTGTCCACCCCTTCACCTCAGCCAATCAGAAGTAGCCTTGTATTCATCCAGAAGATACAAAGCTTCATGTGAAAGGCTCAGAGCACAGCCTGTCTTAATTTTGTTTTGGGAGTGGGATGGGAAGTCTGTGTCCCAGTGCCGGAACACAGTGCAGAGATACATATAATTCTTACGTCACTGGTAACTGCTGCGTTTGTTAGTAAAGGAAATAGTTCGTTTGGACAAAGCATGAAGCATGGACAAGTATGGAGTTAGGCTTTTTAGCAGAATTATAGACAAAACCTTTTTTTTTTCTCATTTTGGATGGAGTAAGGGAGGGTTATAACCCGTCAGTTTGTTTTTTCCCATCTGTGTCCCATTGGGGACATTTACCTTCACTTCCTGTCCCATAGCCATAACAGGAAGTGAGAGATAATCCCTGCAAACTAAGGGAATTCCTTTGGGGCCCCCAGGTCACCATAACTAGTGTCTCCATTGGAAGATTTCTACTACTGTTTCTACTACTGTTTCGGGGACAACAACAAAAATGTGGGTTTCTTTTACTTTCACTGATAATGGTAGACAGGATAAATAAAGAGGGTGAATCTCCATAGCAGGGGCACAGACAGCAATAACTACAGGTGTTCTAACTGATCTCAACTCTGTCCAAAAGTAAAAAAAAGTTAAAAAAAGTTTAGTTATACTTTAAAGTGTTACTAAACTCATGAGCCTGCATTGACTATATCTTGTCTTCCACAGTACACGGAAATGCAATTACTTTAGTAAATATAAACTGCTAAATGTCTCTAATTATCAGAAGCTTGCACAGTCTTGCGACTTCTATCAGTGTCCAGCAGAGCACTGGTTAAAGCTTGTGGGAGGAGTTTTCATTCTCCCCCGATTGTCCTATGAATCTACAAGACCCCTGACCGTGCTGATTCATCCTGTGCTGATCACATGCATTCTCCCAAGAAAAAAACTCTCCAGCAATACACACCAAACTGAACATGTACAGCTTGTCCCCAAGGCTCTGTTCCATCAGCAGATGGATTGGGAACTTTGGAAGAAGGGAAGGAACGGAGAAGACAGGATCAAACACCCTTTTTACAAAATGCAGAGTATTAACCCCTTAGGTTCTAAAGTGTGTATAACAAGCATCCTTTACTGCATATACTGATTTTTACTGTTGTGGGTTTAGTAGCACTTTAATACTACTTTAAGACAAAAAACACATACAATATACATAAACAATGTTTCCCTTTAGTGAATATAATTCCCAAGAAAGAGCTATGGAAAATTTGTGTAACAGTACTAGTCACCCCTGTTGTGTTTTTCCAATGGTACTCCCCTGGGAATACTTAGAATCCTGTTTCCAAGCGCAGCGCCATTACTGGATAGCGGTTTTCCAGCTCCTGCCTTGGTGAAACCAAGGCACTGTTTGCTGGACAACAATGACAATTGTGGACAATTCTATTTGCCTCAAATGTAGGAAGCTTGAATATCAGTAAAGAAAGATGAGAATTTAACCCATTTATTACAGAGTTCATAAAAAACACCTTTTTTGAAACCCCATAAACACCTTCCAGTATGCTGACATACTATGTGTATATACATAAAACATTAAACTAAATGTGCTGGTGTAGTGAAAACTAAATAAATAATCTTGCTTGTTTTATTATTATTGTTATTTAAGCCTCATGCACACAAGCAGAAAAAACACTGCTTTTACTAGAGGTTTATTTTTTATGCATCTGAACGCAGCTCTATTTTAGCCACCATGTCCGTGCACATTGTGGCACTTACCTTCATATTTAGAGCAGTGTTTAGAGGCATAAAAAATGCCCCAAACCTGCTTTTGGATGCATGTACAGTTGCAAGAAAAAGTATGTGAACCCCTGCGATTATGTGGAGTTTTGCATGAATTGGTCATAAAATGTGCTCGGAACGTCATCTAAGTCACAACAATAGAAGAACACAGTCTGCTGAACATAATACTACACAAACATTAGATGTTGCCATGGTTTAATTGCACATAACATATAAACATTCACAGTGCAGGGAGGAAAAAGTATGTGAGGCCCTAGCTTAATGACTTCTCCCAGAGCTAATTGGAGCCAGGAGTGAGCCAACCTTGACTCCAATCAGTGTGATGATATTGGATATGT